ATCGATATAAATACCTAATGAGCATGTGTAATTATTAGGATTCCATTAATAGAATTAAAGATAATAGATTCGCGTTAGAATTTTCGCTGTTGCCGTTCTGACCATGTAACGTAGTAGTACGAGAAAGTGATGGGTAACCCTGCCACTTCACGCACATATTTACGCATGTGCAGATAGCGCCTTGCTGTATGTAGTAGTAGTAGGTAAATAACTTTCGACAGTTGTACGGAGTGTCCAGGGTGTGGTTATGTCTCAGAGTGACGTAGTGAACTTTGTGATTTAAATTACTGAGTGGCACTGCAATGTTATGGACAGGCGTGTCGCTTACCACCAGGCGCACGACTTGTTCGCCCCATCACTTAGTATTAAAAAAACAATGCAATATAATAAAATCGCAAAAAAGTGTGCACTTTTAATATTTTAAAATTAAAAGTAATGTCATCATCATCATATCAGCCGGAAGACGTCCCCTGCTGAACTACCTTCCCCAAAGATTTCCAGACCAGCCGTTCGGACTCTACGTGCATCCAATGCTTACCCGCCGCCCTTACCAGGTCATCTGTCCATCTAGTAGAAGGCCATCCCACTGAACGCCTTCCGGTTCATGGTCTCCATCCAAGAGCCTTGCAGCCCCAACGGCCGTCGTTACTACGAGCTATGTGCCCTGCCAACTGCTATTTCAACTTTGCTAATCCTTCGAGACATGTCGGTGACTTTTGTTCTTCTACGGAGATTCGATCACGTAGAGAAATGCCGAGAATTGCTCGTTCCATAGCTCGTTGAGTGACTTTGAACTTTTTTATTGAGGCCCATAGTAAGTGACTCAGAGCCGTTAGATTTTAATCTTGGCTCATTAGCTGGCCAAAGCGGTGCTGAGAACTACAACCGTGCGTTATTTTGGCGTCTCAAGCCGTTTCAAAATAACGATGTGCTATTGGTTCACTTCAATACGGTAGGTAATGGGCTTCATGTTTTCATTTATGCAATCTGTTTATTTGAACACGGAAATTGCTTTAACCAGCTGTTGTTCAAAGTGTGTCAAGTTATTTATGACCTACGTCGTATACCGTACTCGTACTTATGAGTCACCGGGTTGAAAAAACCAACAAAATGACGTTTTAATTCATATCTAACACCCAGCCGTAACCGGTAACTTGTTAACTAGAATAGTACGTAATTTAACTTTGTATCTAGAATAAATAATAACGAGAGAAATAAATGTAGACCATGCAAATATTTTTCTTGGTCCGTTCCATTTCAAATTGAATTTCGCACATAAATTCCGAGAAACTCAGAGGTGCAAGACCGGATTCGAACCCACGACCCTCTGCTTGAGAGGCAGTAGGTCAAACCGTTAGGCTACCACGGCTTAGCGGAAAACGTATAAACTTTTTTATGTATTTTCAAGCCAATAAATATAAATGTGAATTCCAAATTTGGCTGGTATATCTAGTCACAGAATAAAGAATAAGAGAACAGACACTCTCCGCCCCTCCCTAGTTTTATATACCGCACCAAGCCCCGCACATTGCCGGTCACATTGACTGAACGGCAACAAGGCTGCCGGCGGGCCGTTTTCGCGCGAAGACGGCTTTGATGTTTGAATATAGTTTTCATTTATTCATTACGAAACTTGTACGTTAATATAAAACATCATTTTAAATCAACATTATCATAAATAGTAACCTATTTATAATGGTCGTAAACTGTGCTGTGTACGGCTGTTTATCACCATTTTAGAAATATGAAACGAAGTAAGTAAAAAAAAACGTATGTCTGAGACTCATTCGTTATTGTTTTCTTCATTTATTTACTGCAGAGTAATATAAAAAATACAAATTTATTATATCAATATAATGAGACGCCATGACTTGGCGAATTTTCTATTCGTATTGCCGATAAATATGACGTAGGTAGTGAATATATCTAATTATTAACTAAACTTGGATAAGCAATTTCAAATACCTTGGTTACCTTACTTAAAAGCACATGTCCGAAATATAACATTTTAAGTGCTTTTAATATATTTTTGAAATAAATCTTCAATATTACTCTAGTTAGTGAATTAATGAAAAATATAATTATGTATCGTAATAGTGCGAGAAAGTGATGGGTAACCCTGCCACTTCATGCACACATTTGCGCGTGTGCGGATAGCGCCTTGCTGTATGTAGTAGTAGATAAATAATTTTCGACCGTTGTATGGAGTGTCCGGGGTGTGACCTACTCTAAAGTGCTGCGGACAAATGTACAATACAGTATAGGGAAGCGTGGGGGAATGGAAGCCTACTAAGGAAAATTCATAATAAAAGTCATAATTTATGTTAAATTACATTTTTTTCGCAACATTTTCAATATCGTTGTGTAATATTATGTTGTTTTGTGTGTATATTAACATATACAGGCTATTTTCTCGACATTGACGAAACTGTCAAAATATATTTCCGAGGGCCATTCAGAAGGGACGTTGGTGAGGCGAATTAAAACCCTTCGCGGGGCGGAGTTGTACACAAATGTACACGTAACTTAGTAATTTAAGTCGTAGTATTGCCGACACAGGGATACGAACCGTTGAGCTCTCAAATAAGAAGCAATCGTTCTCCCACTGCTGTTTTAAGTACAATTCCGTGGTAGTGACCCGTTTAGCTCTTGCATGTAGTCTCTATCTAAGATGTTTAAATTAAATATTATAAAGATTTATTAAGTTTTTATGTTTTCGAACTGGGGAGCGATACGAGTCAAATCAGTATCTGAATATATGCAAGAAACATCATCTTTTGCCACTGGAGATGCGGCGTCAATCTGATTCTAGTGTTTTTGAAAAAAATTGCTTCTGGTGCCGTTGACTCCCCGGAACTTGTATCCAAGATTTCTCTTAGAGCCCCTGCAAAGACCATTAGGTTTAATTCACCTCTGTGCGTATCTCTGGCCTCTTCAAACTTTCGGCGGAATGCATATCTCATGCGTGCGAGTAATAGTTTCAATGCATTGTCCAAGCAGGTTGATATTGACCTTTTTAACACTAGTGTTGCATCGGTGAAGCGTCTTATTGGTGGTTTGTTTTTTGGCGAGTAGCTAATTGTTGTATGTGCGATTATGTCATTACCTATATAGTATAATTATTAGTTATATAGTTATAATTTATAGCTCTTTAATTAACTTAATGTGTGTCTACCGGTGAGGACCTATAATTGGCTCTCCGTTTTTATTTAAGTTTATGTTATGTAAGATAGCCGTTGGTCTTCCTAAAATTAAATAATAATAATAATAATAATGATAAATGTATTGAAACGCGTATTTACAAAGAGCAACACCTTGAGTTTCTTGCTCATTCTTCTCAGGGGAATTTGCCTTATGAATGAGCGGTAGAGTTTAACCATTGTGACGATTTGAAGCGTAATAATGCTTCTCTATGAAATAAAGATTATTTCACTTTGTCTTTATATTAATTATGTTATATATAACTCTCATATTTAAGTCGAATACTTTGCTCAACATGTTTCGACCCGACAGTCGTCTTCAATCATGAGCTTCCGCGGCGCGGCGGCGACTCGACGGAAACTGCGCGCCAAAGCCCTGACAGCCCGGTCACTCATCACGGACGCGGACGCAGACCGCGTTTTGTTTTATTAACACTTCTTTTTCAGTTGAAATTATATATATATGTTTTTATATAATACCAAGTGGTAGAACGAATAAGTCGTGCGCCTGGTAAAAACTGCGACGCGAATTGCTGCGGTGCTATTTTATGCAGCAAGGCATCTCACTGCCACGGTTCCCGTAATCATTCCTTCAACCCTCGCCAACCGCACTGAACGTATTTTTTAAGTTAGATAGCGACATGGATCGTAAAAAGAGTGTGGCGCTGCTGTTATTAAGTAGAAAGTATAGGAAAAAAACACAAAGACGATTAACATCGCAGGAATGCGCGATGCGAGGCAATTCGCAAATTCTTGCGATGCCCCATCGCATCGCACTTTTCTCAGTTTTTTTTTTTAGTAATTTAAGTAGTTACTTCAGTAATGCCAACATTACCGCTTGTCAGTAAAAATAGGTAAGGTGGCAGTACTACCCTGGATGACCTCTGTGATCGCGTAGAGATCTTCCCTCGCAAAGGAGCCCAACAGCAAATGCTGCATGGACTGCGTTCGGGCACGGTAGTTAAATTGGGTTAGACTAGCAACCTTGAAACCCCATTTACACATCCCGTCTCTGCAGCGACCTACCTGAGTGATCCAATCGAGTAATCGATTCAAGGACTTCTACACGGGTCACCGTAGATCGTAATCTGGTGGTACTCTTGAGGGATGATGAAACCAGGTGGTGGGAGCTTTTTCAGTTTCCACAGGACACACGTAGTAACACTCGTAGCTCTACATTCCTCAAACGTAATGGAAGTGTAAATAAATTGACTTGTTAAATTTTAAATAGTACATTACACACGAACTAATAGACTAATGGACGTAACCTACAATATTGAAGAATTAATTACGTCACAACACAGAAAACGAAATTCTAAATCGAAATAATCCTTAATAAATAATTTTTTTCACAAAAAAATTGTAGGTTCGTTCATTCGTGCTAAACAAGACAATATAGATGATATCTTATCTAATGATATATCCAAACCACTTACTGCTGTTGTAAAAATTAACACATAATTGTAATTACATTTTAACTAACATTTCTCTTGTAAATCGATAGGAAAGATATTTTGTGAATATAGTGAATAAGGTAGTCAACGTACGATGTGGAATCTGCTCGAGCCGGTCACAAAATTATGTCCACGACATAAGAGCGAAAAAAACAATGTGTGTTTCGTCGTCTGTCGTCGACTATGACTTTTTTGCTCTTATTGCATAGACATTAAACTTTCTCTAACCGACTCAAGCCGATTCTGTGTCGGTAAGTGAGGTAATTCCCTAATAGTTCTCATTGTCTTCATTATTGACATACCTGTTTTTTATATAAACCTAACATCTCCTTTTCTTTCTTTACAGTCAAAAAGGGTACCCTGCTCCCTGGCCGTGGGCGAGTGTAACCGCGACAGGAGACTGACCAAGAGCTCCGCGCGGGCCGCCCGCGCACAACCACTGAGGCGACAGGACCGTGAATGTGATGGGGACCTTAGGGAAGGTAGACCAGTAGGTTAACATGAGTGAACCAGTTTTTGACATTTCTCCATCGTAACATCGAATTGCGTTACGTAGAAAAACGTCAAATACACAATTGCAATAAGCAGAAGTCAAGAATTTGTAAAGTGAAGTGATCACGATAATCGGAAAGTTACAGAATGAACTATATAGGTTACGCAATCAATATCAAGCCCATTACACACGAGAGCTATACTATATTGTAGCAAGTAAAACGCATCTCAGTACCTACAGGTTGCCCATCGCTCAGGGGAGCTTCACAAAAAAACATTTACTGGCATATCATGCTCTGTGGTAACTTCGTAACAATTTAAGCATCTTCAGCTGTGTGACATGGCGCGATTATCGCCAAAGAGACATTGGTTCAACTCAGGAGTTGAATTCGAGATTTTGTGTCGTGCCACTGTCACCCTCTCCTCTTGCGCCCCCTAAGGTCCGGTAAAGGAATCGAAACGTTCCGTCCGAAGTTATACCCGCGTCGCCTCAAACCAGTCCCAGCAGTGGACTATATTGTCACCGTTAACACAAATGGACGAACTTACAATTTCGACAGAAAATTTACTTACACTGAAAAAATGGACTTTAGGGAATCACCACATTTATTACGGTTTGAGCCGGTCACAAAAACCTTTATGTGCACACAATAAGAGCGAAAAAGACTGGCTTTTACGTCGTCTTGACATAAAAGTTTTTCTAATCGGCTCAAGCCAATTATTTGGCGATAAATGTGGTCACTCCCTTAGCCTATCACGATAGAATCGGTTAGAAAGCCTTGAAGGCACAGATGGATACAACAACATCTTGTTTATTTCAATCAGTTTTTTTAGCGTACATTCTTACTTTGATTCAAAATCCATTTTTATTTTCATGTTCTCATGTCATAAAATGCTTTTCCGTTTAAGTTTTAAGTAACGTCCATTAATGTTGTATGGAACGATATCGTTACCAATGTAGTGCGAAGTTGTCTGAACTTGTAAGTAAGAAGTTAACATTGCATGTTAACATATTAAAACCGCTTTAAAAAGGAACGTTCTATGTCTTTAGGAAATCAGGCATAAAATTGATAATGACATTGCGAAAATAATAATTAATACTATCATTTTTGTGGATATGCCTTTATGAATCCCATACGTAATAATTAATAAGTAAAGTGAACATCGTTCTTTGACGTTCAACATAAAAAACCTGTTTTGTCGATTTGTCTAGGAATTTGGAAAGAAATGCACGAATTTCCGAAAGGCATAGAACAAATTTTGTTTGTATGAATGACTACCTACAATAATCTTAAAGCTACATTTAAATAAATAACGCTTATCGTCGCTTTCCGAACCATAGTATAATGAAGACAAGTAATTCAACTTCCGTCTATACGTCGCTCGTAGGGTTGTCACATTACTGTTTCAGTTGTACAGGTTGCGATGTTTCGCATTAATTAAATATAGCTAGAGAATACTGTCATGACTATCTTATTTTTTTCAAATTATGTTTAATTTGAAAAAATCGAGATTTTCATCACAGTATTTTCGTGCTATATTTAATTAGTTAACCTTAAGTAATTTCATATTTATATTTTTATACCAGCATCGCGGATTAATGAGAGTATGATCATGAAGTAGAAATGAAATACAATAAAATAAGTATAAATATGACATGAACACCGAACGAACGCTCCAATTCTATAATTAATGGCGCGTGTGTCAGGTGCTATGCAACTCGAGTGCACCGCGAGATTATGCGAATGTGTGAAATATCGTTTTACAATATTCACAGATTATACTGAGCTCCACTCTACAGTGTTGCCATATCCATGTAAGCTGAATAAAAAATTACGGTTGGTCTGATTTTTTATTACTATTTAATTAAGTGACTTAACTTTGAAAATACTCGATATTCTCAAACGTCAACCTCGAGTTTCGAAAATGCCAAAAAACACCGAGACTCAAAATTTTGAAAGCCGAAATTTCCGGAATGACAGCCCTATTGCTTACATACGCGGTGCGTACTAAGGCACACATACAAGCCGCGCTTTCATCTATGGAGTTATTCTACTTGCCTGATGTCTATATCTGAACTAACGTACATCTAGTATTGGACTATTAAAACAACGTATTTCCTGTTGAGTACATAGCTGAGCCGTCATATATAAAAAGGTACGACGAATAGTGGAATATGTTCGACTTTAAAAGTCTTACTCAATGACAACAACAACGAACTGCGGTTAGTGGAGAAAGAGACGATACGTTATTTTGTGCAGGTAACTTTTATAAAAAATGTATTTGTTAAAAAAAGGAACCGACTTCAAACTTCGCTTATATGTACATACAAACTGAAGCTAAATTGAAAGGAATATGCGAAACTGGATTCACTTTCAGGGTCGTATTCCAGAACTCTACTCAATGCTCAAGTCAGGACTTGAGTATGATTCAAAGCACTAGAAATCATACTAAATTCGTATCGAATAAATGCGCCCTTAGAGGTGGAATATTTTTTTCAAAATTAAATGGGACCAATACAGAGGTACCCTCTTTCCAACAAAAAAAGAATCATGAATAATCGCGTAACACGCACACACACACACACACAAACACATACACACACACACAAAACTACAGTCGAATAGAGAACCTCCTCCCATTTGGAAGTCGGTTAAAAAGTGAAATTACTTTTTTGTAATATTAAGTAATTTTTGTATCATTATTATTGTATCTCACTAATTACATTTCGCAATTGACAAACTTGTAATTTGCAGTTTGTTAATTGAAAATGTAGTAATAACTCGCAATGAGACAGCTGCACTGCATTTCGTTTTAAAACTACATTGCACGTAGTGTGGAATGTTACAAGATTACTTTTGCATTTCTAAAACTAGATATTAACACGATAAGTGTATTGCTATTCAGTTTAACAGTTGCAAATGTAAATTGTAAAAGTTGTAAAAAGATACACGATGTATGTTTATTATAAAAAGTATAGACAACTTCGCATTGTTAAACATGTAACTACTGACAAGGAATTGCTTATAACCTTTTGGAGAACACAGTGTATAAAATATATCCTTCTTCAAAGGGAGTCTCTACTTTTCAAAATATTGTATAAAATCTTTCTACGTATGTGTTAAGGAGCCATAAAAAATGTAATTAAAAGAAAAATAGCATAAAACCTCAAGTTATCCAAGCATTAACTTCATTAGCTTAAAAGTGATTTTCTAAAATGACATATCTCTGCTAGATGTAAGGAAAACTCTAATTTAAAATATCAAAAAAAATAAATCTTAAAAACATAGTCACGTAAGTCGATAGTGATTTTGGAAAATCGCTTATAAGTCTATACAATAGGATCCATTGCTTTTTTTTCTTTTAATGACATAGGCCAACTCTATAATGAAAATATTATTAATATACAAACGAACAGTACCCAAGAAATACCCTAGATGCTCTAAAAAATACCATATCCCTTAATATTAAGGTACAGTCAGGGAAATTGTTGACCTCGTACAGACCAGAATTCGATAATTCGAATTTCAAATTTTCAAATACAAAGGGTCAAGAATATATTTCCGGGGATGTTACGTCATCGAGTACAGTCGAAGGAAGTTAGTTCATAATTTATTGATTTAGTTGTGATATTATATGGCGCACGATAGATGGCGCTAGTCACATGTGCAATCCAATCGGACTGTATGTATATCGTAGTTAGACAAGTTATGGCGGTCCGATGCATTTAATTTGTGTATGGGTATGCGGGTCGTATTTGAAATTTTAATTTTTGCGATCACAAATACTAGTTGTTGCTTTATAAATGTCACTGCTAACGAAAGGTATTTCTGTCGAAAATACTGTGCAAGTAAATATGTACGTTACGTGCAATGGTATTTGAATTAATTTATATTAAACAGAAAATACCTTTGTCTTGGCGTTGTTGCTAGACGCTTTGTGGTCATGCAAAGAAACGATATTTGAGAACAAAAGTGGAGTTATTGTTGCCTTAAAGAATGTAATCAACTAATGTAATTGTACAACAGCTTATCGATGCTTCGGAACGATTAGAAATTTTTATTTGATTAAACATAACAAGTAGAAGGCCGGAACAAAAATTGTTAAATTGCTCACTTAAAAAAAAAATTGTTGTAGATTCAAATGCGACCTGCAAGTCCTTCATGTTATATTACCCAATGTTATTGTATACTTCTAGCACTTGCTAGAAGTTACTATTATAGCTAGGGACTCTGATTTTGTAACTAATTCCTAAAAAGGAATAATGACCATTTTATTTGAAGTACACCTTTTAGATATAAGGCCTTATACCATAGGCACTCAATGTATTGACTGACTTGAAATCATAATGGGGACGTGTATATGTTCCAATTGACATTGTAGTTACAGAATTAGTGTCCCAGTTTAAATGGGAAGTAGTGGACAACGGATCTCTATCACTCCTTTATATTATAGTGTCATGACATGTAGTTGTTGTCTATCTCATTTTAACCGATCTGTGTTAGATTGTAGCCAACTGGCTGGCCATTATGTGAAGCGATATACATTTTTTAAGATTTTTGTCGTGCTGGTAATTTCAGTGACTGTATTTCTGTGGTTCTAGTGAATAGGGGTACAAGTCAAAAAAGCCAGCTTTACAAGGAGATGCGAAAAACAGATGTGATATAAAACGTTAAGTGTTTTTCGCGTTTCCTTCTACAGTTGGCTTTTTTACTTGTGCCCCTTTTCACTAGAGCCTGAAATTTAGACAACATTAAAAAAGTTTCACTTCACGATGTCTAATTAAAACAATTGAAAATAAAATCAAATAAAATTCAGATTGTAAACTTCAAACGCAACACACAATGGTCAAATTGAAACTGATGTCGTGTTCTTGTGACCGTGACTGAACAAATACCACTCAAAAATGGCACTTGCTCTCATAACTAAACTTTAAAGAACTAGGTCTATAATGCTGGACCTATTGACTCTATCCACGCGTGACTATACAGTAATATAGGGGAATTATTACGCGAGCTAAAACAGATTTAACGTTTTTAATCCAAGCCTAATAAATTTAACCTCAAGCCACGGAATAAAAAAACAAATAAATACGGCGTTTCAGTCAACCTTCAACAGCACATAAAGACTCGAGTTTACGTCTAAACTGCAGTTAATTACAGATGTCTATCTGCGTCAAGGAAAATGTTAAAAATACGCGGAAAGAACGCGGCTGAATTTCAGTGGTTATAATGCTACAATATGAGTACAATTTGACTATGCATAAACAAAGTTAAATCTCTTAATCCAGCAAGCAACGTCTCAAATTTAACCTTCTTGCATGGTTGCCTAGTTTTTCTTAACGTTGTTCTAATTAAGATTATCTACGCAAAGTGTAAATGTAACCCCATAGAAAATATAACCATTACAAGCGTAATTTAGCAAAAGATAAATGGTAACATCCTGCTAACGGAAACCACACGCCAATCTTCGTTAATCGTCGAGTAGATAAGGAACTGAGAAATACAAAACATTTTTTATTTAAAATGTTACCTACGTTTGGTGTAGTGCTAAGGAAGATACATGGCCAGTTTAGTGAATCATTCAATTTAAAATCATAAACTTTTGTCGAAATTTAAAAAAGTCACAAGAACATGGCATCAGATTTTTTTCAAAAGAAAAATATTTATTTCGTTATTTTTTAAGTTTTCAATGATTTTAATTGTTCTCGTTAGTTTCCTTGGGAATCTATATACTGTAATTATGTAGTAAGTAAAAAGTCGTACCATATTAAGCGACGGGGGTGACCGGCTATGTATTTAAGTATATAAATGTTAGATTTATCGGCAATCTACTTTTCTAGTGTACAATTCCATTTTTTCTACTCCGGTATCGTGATTATTGACTGCGTGGACTAATTAT